AGTGGATTTGTAACGGATGGATTCACGAAGCCGCGAACGCAACACACTTCTGGGCTTTCGTCGCGTGACACGTACGATCCAAAATAGGCCATCGAGTATGTGGATCAACGAACAGGGACAAGTTGAAAAGATCCCACGGGGTGTCCTTAATGATCTTTCCTACTATTGTAATACCATCACAAGGGACACGTTTTCCTTTGATATTTTTCTTCCCAATAAATTGGTACACCAATAATTGGCTAGTAGAAACTTCTTGTTTACGTCACGTTTTTTGAAATTAAACGAGAAAAATTCGTTTAACGAACGATATTATGCGAAACCTTGTACCTTATGTAAATTGCGCAAAAAGCAAGTAAAAAAGTTCAGTAATCAAAGAAACTTCAGGAGAAATAAGGTTAACGTTTTACTAGAGCGTTTGTGTTAGTAAATTCGTAATTAAACTCCTGATCTTAGACGGACTAATGCAAATTTAAGAACTCTATAGCGATTTCCTCGCTCCTTCAGTGATCCCCCTATTCAACGCGTTGCGCTGATGCATAATGCCAGAGTCATATGTAAGTTATACGGAAACTTATGTATAAAATATCTTCGTGTCTTAAGTGGGATTGACTTAAACCTCATTAAACTCACGAAATCTTGTTTTGCATCGTTGTTGCAAACGTGACGTCAATACTTGTGAGGCAAAGATTACCGCAACAAGAATACGAAAGCTCAGGATTGTTTCATGTAACACAAATAAGCTGTTCTTCGTTTCAAATAGAACATTGGTCTACTGAATTAACATGAAACTTTCACGATAAGAAAATATATATATATATATATGAAGTTATTTGAACGATAAATACTTATGGAACGGTTTTTTATTTTATACATGACACACATACGTACTTCCATGAATTTATATACGATTAATTTCACATTTTTCCTCGTATTTCTCATATTTCTTATCAGTAATTAATAACAAGTTTTTAACAGTATGGAAGATATCATTTCAGAATAGAATTGTGATTTGTCCAAATCTTCTTAATTTTACCAATCGATAAAAATATGTTTTTAAATTGGAATTTCAGTTCATCGACGCAAAAAGAAGATAGCTTTATTTCCAAACTAGTGCAAGTTCTTTATTTGCATTATTATTTTTTCTCTTGTGTTAAAATTTTAATAAAATTTCTACGTAACTTTTATTCTGAATATTCGAGCCTTTCGATATTGCAATGCGTCCTCTTATTACTCCTATATCAGTTGACAGCGATATTTTCCCTATATTGCGTCCGAACTAGCGAACCACAAAAGCAGATTACAATGGAATACGTTCGTCTCGTTTTCTGATAAGCTGAATCTCTCAACTAATGTGAATATATGTATACATTGTTGTTATATGTATACAACGTTATCTGGAAACTCTTATGTTACATGTATCTGTAACGTAATCTAGAAATTCTTCTTTATAATTGCTTTTTTCATCTTGCATAATTTTTGAAAGTACATTTTTTATTATCTTTGTGTAATATATCTTTATATTAATGATCATGTATCAATATTAAATTTTTGAATTGTTTTATATAAAATATTTTTCCAATTACAAGAATATCGGTAATAGACATTCATTATCCAGTATCAAATTGACACGTATGTTTGAGAACTAAAAAGATTATGTTAAACTGCGGCTTCTTGTCTTTGTCGTCAAAGGAAGGGAATTTTATCACGGGAGGAACTGACATTTTCACGCAAATTAAATAAAGTACAGGGCGGCGAAATACTAAGTATTTCGTTTGAAATAGGACAGAAGAATACGAGATGTGATTGAGATGAGCTAAAGGTATCTTTAACCTATTGCCTAATCTTTAAATCGGAATTTCGGCTCAGAAACTTGTAACCCAAAGTGACGCGAAAAATATTATGATACCATAAAGTTAATATCTCCTTTATATTTATTTAAACGTGTAAGTATCTTCAATGTGCCGACAGAGAGATTTCCATATATTTTGTACATTCTAATATATCTCTCTCAAACTGCAATATTTAATTATGCAGATGCTATTTCGCTTATACCTACCATTTCTTCCACTCCTTTATATTTACTTCGCGAAATTACTCAGTAACAAATTTATGACATTCATTATAGAAAGCGACATTCCCGAGAATTCAATACACACCTGTAAAGTTTCTCGTAAAGAAAATTGACATCTTTCGTTAAGAACTTGGCGTTATAAATAAAGATAACATACTTCGATACTCGTAATTAAAAAAAATAATAATCTTTTGTGTTTTTATTCTAAATAATATAATAAGCATTTTTCATTATATATAAAAAACCATTGCAATGTTACGTAAAAGCATATGTAAAATAAGGAAAGTATATAAATGTAATTTTATCTAACTTTTTTTACTTTTGCTTGATATATGTTTGTGAGAAAACGCGAGATCTCAATTTAAGCTCATTAGGAGACTATATGAATAATTCTCGTGATGATATAATTGTCTTTCTAAGCGTCGTCTCGGCGGAAGAGCCTTTTTCTTAATTGTTTGAAATTGATCATTCACACTGTTGACTTTATCATTGTTCTGTATTTACAAATTACGTTTATTTTAATTTAACCGAATACATGCGCCATTGTTCAATATCGCGGGATATTTTTGTTACCGCGGGTAACTGGGAGTTCTCGCAGAATATCACTCGAATGCATCCGACACTCGAACACTTCTCAAGACTCTCGAAATTGCAATGCTGATCTATTTCAATGGTAATCGTGCATTATATCGCGTTGAAATGCGCATCGATCGATTAAACAGTGAGAAGCACGTAATATGTCTATTTGAATTTTTAACAGACAATGCAACTTTTAATTTAATTATATTATATATATTATTTATGTGTATACAAAAAATTTTGATAGTTTTTAAAAATTCATGAAAAAAACATTAATATACTGTTATAGACTTCATATATGATCCTCATAAAAATTTATATTCTGCACAATATGCATAGTATATGTATATGTATGCACAATACAAATTTTTATAAAATTAAATTCTATGATTTAACATGCGTCATAATTTTATAGAATTAATTTGCAACTGCTAGAATTTATTTCAAGGAAAAACAAAAAATAAAATAAGAACATTAAATATATAATTTTTATGTTTTATATATAGCGGCCGTAATCAAGAAAACGTAAATTAGATCTAATGCGATTTAAGCTTTATGTATGAACTCCGTGATTTATTGCTGAAGTTACATTCTCGGCCTGCCGATAAATTTGATCCTGTCGAGCTTGACAAATTTGACGTAACGGTTAACAATGTATCACAGAGATAACCATTTGGAGGGCATATGTAATCGATAATGCAACGTATAGCCGACGCTGCATGACATATCCTTGATATTTAAATTCACTAACCCGTTCATATGACATGTAATAAGTCCACAATCCGTTGTTCGTGAATGGATTATTATTTTTAGTCTGCTTTTAATCAACTATTGATGACTCTTTTGATAACCTTGTGTTAATGTATGTAAAGTTAGTATGCATACAAATAGTTAAAGACGCAATATGCGAACAATGTCAAATAATCCGTATCACAAATAAATTTGCGAATCTGGCTGTGATCTCGATCGTTAGTTGGCAAACTATTTGCATTTAATTTAGTTATTCTAAAATTTGTGTTATGGCGTCTTCTAACTTCATTCCATCAAGTACTGCTAATACATATTTTATAATTAAATTTAGCAATAAATTAATACTGAAACTATCTCCTAATAGACGATTATCTATGACGTAAAATTTATTTTTTTTTTTAATTTATCCATTTTCATCAACTTACACGAACGATACCTTGTGTCTATTATCTACAAAGGCTGAATTGATACGTCAGTAGATACTACTATCCTGTAATAGTGTAATGGATACTTCGATATCCTTGATGACTCGAACAAGTTGCGAAATTCCGTGGCTGTTGTCAGCTTCGGTTCTCCGATCGATCGATTAATGATTATCGTATATGGATAATAGACTGAAGGGCGCAGTATTATAAAAGGAAAAAGAGGTGTTGGTTGTCTGACCTACTAATACATAATTAATTAAAAAACAAACAAAGGCGTGTTAGGCCATTTCAGATATCGTCAATACGAGATTTCGTTGATTAGCTTTCATTTGATTGTTCATCAACTTAAACGACTATTACTTTCGTAATGAACTTTTGTATAACTTATGTTTTACTCGTAGAACAACAAAATCTATAATTATTAGCCCTATAAATTTTACTTTTATTTTTATAATAAGTTTCTACAATAAATCTATTTTAATAACATAAGATTAAACATCGATGATATATTTTATGGATATTTTCAGTGTACCAATTTATAAGAAATATTTATATTATTGTTATTGTTCAATTGCATCTCTATTAATTTTTGTTAATAAGAATATTACTTTTGTATAATGTGTAAATTTTTATTAATTAAATCGGTTGGGTACCATTAATTTCATGTAAAATGCTTTTATCAAAATATTGTTAAAGTCCGCTGTTGTAGATATCAAATTCGATAGTAAATGCCGATCCCTGTTTTTGCGTAGAAGACTAAAGTTACGTCAAAGCATTCCTTTATACATATAATAAAAGCACGCACGATCTATCACATGTGCTTCCTATCATATAAGCTTATTAACTACATAATGTAATAATTAATTACATTCTATGTAGTAATTAATTACATTCTATTCTAACAAAACTGATAGTTTAAAAATTATCGTCTCAAAATGGTTAAAAATCTTGACACAATGTTAATCAACAGTGGCAACAATTAACGATAACCAGCTATATAAAAGGAAAACGGTAATTTCCCTTTGCACGATACTGGAAAATACTGGAAAATACTGGATAATATCAACAATTAATTAATACGTAATATATTTTCAGAACGGACTATTCTGAGGGTCAGAAGTAGCATAGCTGTAAGAAGAAAACTCATTTGACGGACAATAATCCGAAAAACCGCCATGGAAACACATGTAAGTAATATGACAAGTTACGCAGTAATTGCATGTTCCAATTATAATATTCACACTTTATAGAATAATTATGGCTTTATTAATTTTTTCATCACCTATAATAACATTCATCTTTTCTAATTAGAAACAAGAAAAAGTATGATATTATTTTGTCGCTTTATTAAATTATGTGAATATTTAAGGCGCGTTAGAAGTTTTTTAGAATTGCAATTTCGAGAATTCATTTCAAAAAAATACAAAAAGAAGATACAAAATAAAAATGTTGAATATATAATTTTTTATGTCTTATATACACATACTGTCTATAATATATTTAACTTTATATTCAAACTTTTTCTATATATTATTCTTTAAATATTTTATTAAATAATAAATCTATAAAATCGTCCTGTTCATTATTAGTATTAATTAAACAATAATAATTAAATTCCAAAGACTCATTCTTTCTTATTGTTAAAAAAAGGAACAATCGCGAATTTCACACACACACACACACACACACACACACACACACACACACATAAAATTGAAGAATAAATCGAAGAATTAAATAACAGAAAATTGATTTCGTCATTATTTTATAATCAAAGAACAGAACCCTCGTAGTGCTACGTTTTTCCGTAACAAGAGAATTACGTATAATTCTTCTGATAAGAAACATTTCAAAGATTCTGACAAAAGAATTAAAGAAAAACGAATAAAAATTGGAAAATCTAAAAGAGATGGTTCTTAATATCTTATTTAGTAACAAACTTATTTAGCAACAGTCTTTTTGTTTGATGGTAGGAATCTTGTATATGAAGTATCTGATGCGATCTTTTCATTTGTTGATATAAAATTTTATGATGTACATGAAATGGAGCAGACGGGAACATTTACTGAATATTTTTACTGATATCTTTAAATCTTCGCAGAGAGATAATCCGCTAAATATACATACGATGGAGGCTTTATCGCAAGCTAAATATCGGCGAACGTTTCTCTTGAAGTATGCAGTAGAAAATGCCAGAAGGGCCAGGCGGTTTTATTTGTAGGCGAATTCTCGGATGGTCTTTCGCGTGGCGCAACTATTAATTACGTTTTCTGAAAAACTCTTTGCCGCAAGAATTCTAAAAACTTTTAACTTGGTATAACTTGGATTATCGAGACATAAAAAAACTTAAGAGAAGTATAGTCCAAAAATTCTGTTCTCCGTTTTGTCTCTTTTAAGTTTAGCTCTTTCAAAATAATGTATATAATTTTCTATTGAGTAATATTTTATATTAGTGTATTACAATCTCATCTAATTTATTTAATTTCGAATATCTACCGATTTTTATTTGATTTTTGTCTTTTATTTTTTAACAAACATTACATTTTAAATTTATTGAAAAATTTATTTAACAGATTTATTATTTAATAAATTTACCAGCTTTTATTATACACTAAAATGACCAAATTATTGACAGTTGTATAAAAATCTCTGAATTAACTAAACAAAATAAAAAGGTTTTTACAGGAAATAAATACAAAATTAGGAGGTTTTTCAGTGGATTTTATTTTATACTAAAATCGAAAAAAATTTGAGTAAATTTTTAACTTTTTTCAATTCTCTAAAATTGGAAGTTTGAAACTCACTAATAATAAGAGTGCTACAAGGAATTTAATTTTTTTTATCTGTTATTTTAATTATTGTTCAAAAGCAAACCCACTTTACACAGAATTGTTATATAAAAAGTATATATATATTTTTATACATATTATATATATATATATGCATAAAATAATATCTAAAATATAATATTAAGTTTAACAATACAACTCATGATTAATTCTTAAAACCGAGATTCAACTTATTCCTTATTTCTTTCTAATTCCAAAATTTTGGAAAGAGATAAGATATATGTAAATTTAACCTCGATTAAGAGTTAACCGTAAGATGTAAAAGTTATAAAAATTGCATCCTGTTAAACATAATGCATCGTCTCGTTTGCAATGTAAATATTGTTAATATTATATCAGATTCAGCCTATCGATCCAGCAATTCTAAATTATTATATAATATACATCAATGGTCAAAATAGTTATGAATTTAATATCGGTATATAGATTTATTTTATTCTGACATACACATTTAAAAGTTGAGAAAAATCACTGTATTCCTATAACGCAAATAATACATATTAATTTTTTTAACTTGTTAAAATATTATATTTGCATCTTTTTTTGCGGCTATTTTAAATTCTCATTTTACACGAAAGAGGGGAAAAAATTGAAGAGTTGTTCAGAAATTCCTTTCAAGCGTCTTTATAAAATTCATTGAGTACATATAGTAATAAGCTTGCTAAGTAAATTCCCCAGACAAATTAAAAACTTACATGAAAATCTTACAGAAGCTAAATAGAAACAATAGTTTTGATTGCATTAATATCATTGATATCATTGCAGCATGCTTTCGACATTAATGCAACTCCTGCAAATTACTTCCGAGCTTGTCGATGTCTTGCATACGTAATGAATGTAACTTCTGCTTCATGAATGCTTATAGGTGCTTATGTAAAAGCTCGGGGCGAATCATAAAATACTATCATTTAGATAACGATTACGATAGAACGCAAACCTCATATTTTCCCGCATGCGGTTTCCTGTATGGAAATTCGTTCGCTCCAGGCGCGCTTTTAAATATCCTTTGCTGTCCCGCAAAACTTAACGCTTTTCAGCGAGGTCAAAGTGTAACTTTGTAGCAAAGGTTCGGCGATTTCGTAACAACAAAATTTTCTCGTGACATTTTGTGACGGAGAAACTTCTCTCTAGTTGAACCGTGCGCTGATTTCGTATCGGACTGCAGCTCTCGGCACACATTCCAAGTATTCCAATATGGTAAATGCAACGATGCGGAGATTTAGAGTTACCGAGCGACCTACCTTTTCCAACTTTTATGGGGTTGTCTTAAAACTAAAAATAACAGGAAAGTGTCAGAAAAATTTAAAATGGTCAAGAATATTATATAGGGGAAAATCAAAGAAAATTCTTGGCTTTAAATAAGCTTAAATTAATATGCGTACATCACACCTACGCAATTTTAAAATACCCAACTTTATAATCAAATGCAAGCAACGTCAGCAACATTAATAATATAATTCACATTCTCATGTTAAATTGTTCCTTCAACAAAATATATTTTACGATTTTCAAATTAGAGGACCAAAATATTATACAAAAAAATTTCTAAATATAATATTATTGAAAATATCAAGGAAAGTCATGAAATTTTGTCTAAAAATTAAGGAAACTTGTGGAATTTTAAGATGAGAAATTTGTGGTAATCCCTTATTTTAATACATCGATACAATCAATCGATTAATCAATATCTTTTTCTCTTCTCTCTCTCTCTCTCTCTCTCTCTCTCTCTCTCTCTCTCTCTTTCTCTCTCTCTCTCTCTCTCTTCTTTTTCTCTTTTCTCGGAAAGCTTTTATTCGGATAAAGATATCACTAACATTTCTCCTTTTGTCTCTCTCTCTCTCTTTGTTCTTTTAGCAGTTTAGTCTCATAACTAGTTTGTAAGTTGGAATGAAAGTATAATAGTAGACTGTAATTCAAAATCATCAAATGCATTTGCTGTTTTAAAAGACTAAAGGTAAACGCGACGTTATACGTGCGATAGCGCGATGTTTGTGTTATGCTTCGTACAAGATATTGCTTTATGCTACGCTGAGAAAATTGCTGTGACACGGTATAAAAATTTTTGTGCAATTTGTACAATATATTGCGAAAATATTTTGCACCGCGAGTTTGTTAAAACAAGCCCTCTCGTTAAAACGTTACGAGAATTTTCTTGTGCTTTTTCAAGCATATTCTCGTAACTTTTGTTAAAATTTCAATAATTCTTATCTATATATAAAATTCTTATCGGATTTCTCAATATTAATCTACTACATATAATATATAATTTACGGATTATACAAAACTAATATCTGAGCTAAATTGAACGTCAGAGGAACGATATTTCACTCACGGGAATCTGCCACGAAGTATCAGCGATCGTCGTTATTGATGACTGTCGTGTGTTCCAAACGTTCTTGATTTCGCGCTGACAAGTGTCCTCTCAGCAGGAAAAGCTCAAGTTCGAGCTCAAGCGAAATCTGGTCCAATAGGATAGTTAACCTTCCCTTGAATGACCGTTCATTTACTAACCCAAGAAGTATACTACACTTGTCAATATATGGACCCTCGTTTACGTCATATGTATTAAGGAAAGATATACGAGCGTTTCCATTCACTCGTAAGTTATATGTAAGAATAGGAGCGCATCTTTTCCGGGACATCGTCGCACTTTGAAATGTCTTTGTTGTGATTGAACCTTTTCTTTAAAATGACATCGAATGTGTGGTAATAAATGAAGAAACTTTTTTGTAATAAGAACACATAGCAATAGGAAAGAAATGCAACTTTGTTAAATAAAGCATTATTGAGAAGTATAAGAATATATTCTGCAAAATATGTAAAATGAGTATTCTTCAAGGAAATTTTAAAGCACTAAATTGTTTTATTATTTAGATTTAATCAATTTTTCATTAAGCTTTACTTTTTTTTATTACATTTAAAAAATTTTGTAAAAATTTGATATTATAAGAAGCACAAGAAAGAATGGATTGTAGATATGCATATATTATACACATAAAAGATACAAATAATAAATTTTTAAAAAGATTTTTAAATAACTTTTTTAGCATTTTTGAAACAAAATTTTCGAAATTTACTACTTATTGCGTCAATATCAGTATATATATGTATATTATTTATCTTTACATTTATTTTGATGGAACAATTTTTGTCAACAACAACAATCATGCATCATGTTTCGTATCATATATGCACATTATGTATACTAAAAAAAATTTAATAAACTTTAATTAATATTCCTTCGAATGATCCTCCTGCAGAATATTCATTTACGGTAAATAAATATTTAAATAAATTTAAAAAATAATAGTCAAATAAAACTAATGGTTTTTGTGTCTAATAAATATGTTTTCATTAAATATTTTACTAGAATTATATTCAAAGAAATATTTATTAAAATTTAGTAAACTTTTTTCTCAGTGTACAAAAACGTCGCGATACATGATAAAACTTATTAAATACATCGGCACTCTCGGATGATAAAGTCTTGCGAAACTTTTCCAAAAGTTTTATGCCAAAGTTACCCTCGATTATCGCAGGGAATAAATTCGCACAATTTCAAAGACCGCAATGAGAAGAAAAGGGGAAGATACACCGTGCATTCTCAACGTGTTATTCAAGGCGTTTATTACGAGTAAGTGACCTAGAATAATTGCGCGCGCATTTTATGAGATCTGTGTACGACATGCGCTACATAACGTAGTAGAGAAAATCGGAGGGAAAATAAACAATTTTAGCGTCTCGCCATCGCAGTAGGAAAGATGGTTTGCGGAGGAATGTGCAGCGAACTATGAAACCATTTGGAAGACTTTCGGTTGGATTTCTGCAAGTTATGTGCTTGAAAGAAATAGCGGCAAATAGCTATAAATCGCTTTTACGTGTTTTATCACTTTCCATTTTTTTTTTTTTATGGAAGCTAGAGCCACATAAAATTGCTCAGAAAGACGTCGACGTTCGTAATATCAACCTTTATAAATATATTTATGATATCAACTATGTAACTGCATCCCTACGTCAACTTTTGTTTAAACAAACTGTTATTATTATGCTTCATTGCAATTGAGAATAATAATAATATTAATAAGTTTGATCTCAAATAAGCTGATATTATAATGTATAAATTATTTGCAAATATTATATTCACAGGAAATGTTGTACAATTTAGATTATAATTTATGTATGTAACCATGTCATTTTGCATATTAATTCACAGCTTTATTATCAACGTTTGTTACTGTGCAAACAGATTCGATTATTGATTGTTGGTTGCAATAATTCTTAAATTTGTTTTATCTTAAAAAGTCATAAAAAAAATTATCAATGTAATAAGGATTTCTGAATATAAATGTCCGCCTTAGTAACACAATCAGGAATGTCGTCAGACAGAATTGTTGCGTCGTCGAGGCGACGACGAGACAACAAAAAGAAGCATATAAAATACGTAATATGGTAAAAGAGAGTAGAACGAGTATCATAAATGTAAAACAGAGAAGGGCTTTGTGTATTCATAGCGATGTTTCTGATATTTTATTGGATCAGTAAAATATATAAGATAATTTGGTGGTAGCTTAAAGCTTACAAAAATATAAAACATACCGAAATAATGTATAAATGTATAATATGTAAATTATTATAATATAATTTTAAATAATTTTATTTAAATAATTATTAAAGGATAATTTATTATTATAGATATTATCCCAGAAATTATAATCTCTTCTTTATTTAAACTAAATTTAAGTGAAAGAGAAATATATTATATATGGTACACAATATTCTTTAAATCAATAAACTGTTACTAACGCAACGTTTTTTTAGAAGCTTTTTATACAATGCTGATATTTGTCAATTTTAATCAAGAAATAGTTTTTAATTTATTATAGACATATATAATTATATAGAGACATATCATTTCTTACAATAATTTGTCATTCATAACACAATTGGAACTTCTTTTAGTTTAGATTTATGTATGGGTTTAGATTGTGATCAAAATCACGCTTATGATTCAGAAAAAACTGAAACAAAACTTAAAGTAAATATTATAGCATGATAGAACATATAGATATAATACGTGCATTTATAATATTATTTCTAAATGTTATATAAGTCATTAAAGAATTAAAGTAATAACAAAGAGTAAAAAAATAATTAATATTTTCAATTTTATATCAATCGTGTTTAGTAGAATATTTATTTGCAACTGTTAAAAGTTATCTTCGCTGATTGACGTTATAGGACTATTCCTCTAAATCTAAAAATATAATTTAATCAGCGAAAAAACTTCCAACAGTTACAAAATAAAATTCTGTTAAAAAATGCGATCAGTTATTCTCTAATTGCATATACTATATTTTTTTATTTGGCCTCAAAATATAAGTGTGTATATCTACTTTTTAAACAGTAAGAGAGTAGAAGGGGAAAACATAAAAGGTAATAAAGTTTTATTCTATGAGAAAAAGTCCATCATTTTTTTTACTTAAACTTACCGCAATTTAATTAATACTCTACTTCTTTCTAAAAATTGCTTATAGGGCTATGATAGGGGAAAAAATTTAATTAATGCTGAGCAATTTTGCTGTAAAAGGTAAGCGAAAAACGGCATTACAAGTTAATAAAGACGGGAAGGTTTTCCTCATAAACAACACAACTTGTTTCGAAGTAAAAATTTGCGCGAAACAGTGCGATAAATACTTTTAGTTAGTTACATATAGCTCAAAAAATAAATGGAGAAAAAATTGTCATTTGATAAGCGTTTAGTTTTGGCGCGTATATTTTTCTTCCTTGCTATGAGAAAACGAATTGTGGAATTTTCGTTTCTCGAATTCCGTAACAGGAGCAACAAAAGAGAGAAAAAAAACTATTAAAACGAGCACGGCAGAAGATATCGGCTTTACCGAGTTAAAAATCACAAAGGTGTTCGTTCAGAGTGAGCTTTTCGCTTTTCGCTTACGCGTGGAAACTGACGCGAGTTAGCATGTCCCGTGCATTTTCACGTTCCCGGTGCGTTTTCACATTTCAATATGCCGATTCAATACGCACCGATAGGCAAATTAAATACGGAGACTCGAAATATTTGTGCGATATCCATACCTCGATTTCAAGCAAAATTGTTTTATTTAACTTGACTTTATTTAACGAATTTTCTATCTAAAATGTATCGAAAAAAAAGAGTTAGGAAACGTTTCAAACATTTCATAAACTGATGCATAAAAAGAATCAATGATATACGTATATTATAAATATTTCATGTATGTTGCAATATTATTTCCGTTTCTCTTTCTGACTTTTACAGCGTAAATTCTCGCGTAGCGCATATATCTTATTATTCTATTATATGTACATATATGTATATTAATCTATATTTACATCGAATCCATTTCAGAGGAATGACGTCATCGACCGAATGAAGTTGATGGACGACAGATTAGAATTAGAAGCCAAACGTTGCGATGTTGGAAATATATTGGAACCAGGTGAGCAGAATAGAATAATATTTTGGAAAAACGAAACGTACGAGAAATATCGTTGCGATCAGTTGAATGTTATTGATATTTCAAACGAGAGAACGATTCCGATATGTCATGCGGTATGATTTCCACTACAAAAGATCGCGTCTAGTAGTGAGACTTAATATATGCTCGAACAATTTCGAATTTGACGCCTATTGCGAATCTCACTCGCCGATTGCTTCGCATCATTCATCATTCATAATGCTTCTATTCACGTGCCTGTTCTACTCGAATCCTATACCTCTATATTACGTGAAAATTACAATTGCTCGTTATATCCGTTTTAATTAATATTGCTGTATTAGTCATTGAATAAATACAATAGGCAACGTACGGGTCATTTAATTATATTGGCAACGCGTGGGAAAAGGTGACGAGGTCGATCATAAACTATGAATAATTATCATTTGTAATAGAATCGTAAATATTAATTACACTAATTTCTCCACTATTTAGAAGCGGTATACATAATAATATAATATGTATATATATATATATTTTTTTTTAGTTACTTGGCGAGTTTATTTAAATATTGTTACCACTTGCTTTATATTGGCATTATTTGAACACTTATTACATAACGACGACTCCGAAAATTGGAGATTTTTTTATTTTTCTATTTTTATCGCGTATACAACGAGAGAGAGAATTCAGATTACAAGATAATTCTTTGTGCTTCTGCACGAAATAATTTCGCGCAGAGGAAAGCGAAATAATTTGCGGTGCTTTTTGAAAGTATCGCGCAACTCCGATAATCGGCATTGGCGACAGTAAACAATTGAAAATCAACAGGTTATAAACTTGCATAATACACCACGGGAAGATCGAAAGATGATACACCGGACGCACACGATGCACGGACTAATGTTAACCGCGCGCTCTCGCACGTGTCGCAGCACACGTTTCGCGTTTCTGCGCGTGTACACACGCGCGTGAGTAAACAGTATCTATAGAATGTCTCTGGAGCAATTAACGTCGCAATTAATCTCGCATCGCGATGCTGGCCCGTTCAGCAGCTTGAAATCAAACGCAAAGCTAGCGTGCCACCATTAATTACACAAGCGGCATTGTAAATCCAGGCGAGAGTTTCGTGAGTTTCATTTATTGTACCGCCTTACAAAAGGAAGTTACACAACAGAGTTGCTTAACACGATAAATCCCATTGATGATTAAATTGTTTTATCAAACTTGAGTCGTTGTACGTAAATCCTTTAAGTTATTAAGATGGAATATAATTAAACACATTCACAGAGACCCTTCAAAAGCCATCCATTTCACAGTTCGGTCCATTCAAAGGAGAGGAACGCTTTAACTCGGGATTAATCAAAGTTAAAATGAAGATAATAGCAAAGTACTTTGGTAAATTTTATTCTTTACAATCATTATATAAGATGCAAAACATTTAAACACACCTTGAAAGAATAAAGACTTACGATATCAATTATACAGTTCACGATTATACGAAGTTAGAAATATCTTTCATAATTCTATCACTTTATGTTATACATAATTTAGTTTTACCATTGTGCAAAATTTATGCATAATTATTACTTTGCCCAGGTTTTAAACATGTTGAACCATGAACTTGTTTTATTAATTTTAATATACGTTACATGAAATCTCGTGAATTTCTCTATAGTTTTTAAATATATTTCGTTTTAATTTTATTTTTATACATAATTTATGAAATACTCAAATCGTAAATGCGACTTCCGTAATAAACCAAAAAATCGATGAATGTAGAAAAAGAACAAATCTAATTTTGTTTAAATAAGCTTAATTTTTTCTTGTTGGTCTTAAAGTGGATAGATACCTATATTTTCATTATAAATAACACATTTTCAGACTTCTAAGGAAATCTAAGCTAAACGTGAAAAATGTAATAAGTACAGAAAGGGTACGAGTCTAGGATTTGCAAGATTCAAGGTTTGAAAATGGAATGCTTATCAGAGAGAGAGAGAGAGAGAGAATGTAAAAGCTTTTTTAATGAAATTTTTGAATGGCCAACGGCCTTAAAACAAGGAGAAATATTGTAATAGTCAGAATTTTAATTACAGTATTTTTGAAATTGTTTTTGAAATTGTTTGTGTAATCTCATTTTATTTAATATAAAGAGACATAATTATTGTGTAATATATGTATATAAAGAATATGGCGTCGAGTGGCTCACCGCTCGGTGCGATTGACTCGCGATCTATAGACCCGAGTTCAGTCCCACGTGCGCCCAAACGCAATTTTTCGCGTTTAATGAGCCAAAAAAATGGCTCCACCTGGTGATCAAAATATCTATGATTATCAGCGCCGTTCGGATTCGGCATTAAATTATAGGTCCTATACGTCAATATACATCAGTAGATATTTGTTTCTAATATCTGATTGACAATGAGGTAGGATTCTGTGGATCAATCACCCACAAATCCGAAAAAAAATTGATTCGAGAAACGAATATAGATCTTGGACAAAAGTGGAAGAGGCCTGTAGACGTCCTATGTTCCACATGAGGAAATAAAAGGAATCATCATCATATATAAAGAATGATATAATTTAAAATAAATAAAATATCTGTAATAGCGTACTATAAAATTTTTTATTTTTTGGGGTGCAGAAAGGATATAAGTTCAAATTTAAATTTTAAATTTTTTATTTAATTTACAAGCATTTCAAAAATAAAGAAATATTATTAAATGTCATTTAAATTCTCAAAAGTGATTTTGTTAATTTTTTACTATAATTAAAATTATACATATAGCTTTTTGTAAATAATGAAAGATAAAAAATTTGATAACTTTCTGCATTTTCTGATTTAATTAAACTAATTAAAGTCTCATGTATTTTCTAATTATTATTTTAATAACTATTTTAAATATATCTTTCCTAAAATGTTATTTAGCTTGAAATATAATTTTGTATTTGACAGCTTATTATATATATATTGAAAGAGATTCAAGACTACAAATATATTGAAAAAGCGAAAATACTCAAGAGCATTTAAAGATTTTACGTTACATTTTTAAAGTACCAGAAAGAAGGCACAAACGAAACACATCATTATTAAGTTTCAAGCTGCTTTATACCTTTACGAAGTTATGCCCAAGTTGACGAGTTTGCTAGTGCAAACCTTGTTAGTTCAAACGCTAATATTTGGCTCCGATCGGAAAGCACTGCTTTCCGACTTTCGAAGAAGCTTATGTGTTTTCTTTCTCGCTTTTTGAATGTATCTATTGATGAATATCTACTCTTATTATTATTTAATTGTAATATTTTCTCTCACATCTTCAACAACGCTATTATTATATGTATATGGCACGCAAGATAAAATACATCATGGACGGCAATATAATTTACAGTTTATACGTACAATGAATGTGCCGATATAACATCGAGTAAGTAAGCTTGCCTCTCCGTGTACCATTCGCATATAGAACCATATGGACGCATAATACCTAACAATAGAAATACGACTAAATGCAATTCCCTGCGGACCTCCAGGACCTAATGGATTTCTATTCCTATAAGCTGCGTCAACGCTGAAAGACAGGCTTTCCGGAGGACCACGTCGAATTTCGCACTTCGCTTTTCTCGGCAAACAATATCCTGTACAATTTCCCGGCCGTTCGCGTATTATTCTCATCACCTTTTATGACAATGGCTGATTCGCTCGAGATGTAACGTTCACATATTTATAATACAACGGGATATATGTATAATCGGATCTGTATATTGCGGCTCTCGTTGTGCGTCGAGGAGCCAAATCCATTATTTCCATAACTACCCCAGATCGTGCCATCAGAAATCCATGCGAATTGACATGAGTACTCATATATATACGTTTCTGAATATGGTTTATAAATATAAACGCTGTATAGATACATAAAGGACTTTGTAGAAAATATCTACGTGATATCTTTTTGACATTTGTAATTAAAAATTTGTCACAAACAGAACTGTAAGCCCCAAAAAAGTAAAAGCTAAAAAATAGTACTGATTGTAAGTAAAAATTTGCTCACAATAAATAAATATTTACTCAACAAAAATAAAAATTAAATTAAATTAATAATTTTTCTATCAAATATACGTAAATATATGTTTATATTTAGTAAATATTTACTTAGAATTATTTAAATAAACATTTATTAAAATTTAGTTTTTTTCAGTATAAAAAACAAATAATTACTTTGCTGCTGCAGATAGCTTTATTAGTTTGGTGCTAATATTTTGATGTGATCTCCTCAGGCTGGTGTCCCGAGATTTGGGACGGGATACTATGTTGGAATTCGACGGCACCTGGACAACTAGCCATTCAGCAGTGCGCCTCTTACATCATGGGTTTCGATGCTCGCGTATGTAATCAAGATCATGTAAAAAATGTAACTGAATTGATCCATGTATATTAGATTCTCCGGGAATTATTTCGCGCTCGCTTCGAACGGTGAAATTTTATTCAATAGAATAACGCTACCAGAACGAATTAATATCAAGATTCATTTAAACCCACGAGAAACTCAATTAGATTAATTTTCCGATCTAATAACGTCGTTCTTTGACGTAAGATTCTCGCAAATTGACGATAAAATCCATTCTTTAAATCCATGATTGAAATGTCTCCCACACATTTTAGCGACGTGTCCGAACGACTTCTCGACGAATTCGAATTCCATTCTTTCTCAGGCAGAATTTCGATAAGTCATCCCATTGTATGACTTTCTTGCTCGCGTTTGAATATTTTTACAGATGATTCACGTGTTATAAGATTCTATCTCAAACAAAATTGATTTGAAATGTAATTTGAAACTTTCTGTTCTATTGAGAGAAAAGAAAATAGTTCTGTCAACAATAAATTCACAACTAAAATTTAACTGCAACTCGTAGTTTTACAAAGTAATAAGAATTTTAAAAAGTAATACTGAATATTATAAAAATATGTATATATAATATATAATATAATATAATACATCACTATAAAATAACTATCTTGTACTTTAATTCTTATTACTTTTTAAAACTAGTTGTAGGTATTTAAATTTAGAGTTGTTAATTTATAATTATCGCACAAAAAAAATGGTTTTGAAATATCTAAAGTTTTAACTAGATATATGGTATATTTAAAAGTAACTTTGCTGGACTATCAAAATAATTAATATATAGGACGTTAAAATTTATTACTATTAAATTATAAAAACATTTTACACATCATTGTTCATAGATTTTCCTACAAAATTATTTTTAGTTCAAACATAATTATTTTTAGACCTGTGTGTAACTAACTGTTTAGATAATTCAGCAAAATCATTCTTTCCGTGCAGAACTATTTTTTTTTCTCTTAGAGTGCAGTATGCCATCTCATAGATAAAGAGAGAAAGAAGTAATATAATTTTAATTATTTTTCTTAAGAAAATCGCGCGAGTATCAAGTAATTTTCTAAAGAAATAATTATTGTCTAATCGATGGAAGAATGCGTAGACAATAGGCAGTGCGTCTTTCAGGCATTCGCTTCGAAGCAATGCATGCTGAACGGCGAATGGTACTTTAACGCCAAAACTCGCAGCGTCTGGACCAACTTTAGCCAATGCTACCGAGAGCCGCTAGTCACCGTCCTGATGAACATGTCGAATGTACAAACGAACAACGCTACTCTTATTAAGGTAAAGAAATAAAGAACAATAACAATAAATTATTCGTCGCGATAAAAATGTAGACGAGGACAAATGAATTTGGGACAATAAAACCTTCCCCCGAGTTTTGGCGGCATCGTCATGCGAAAACAGCAGAGATGAAAGAATCGATCGGAATCACACAGCGACATGACGTCAGTTATTCTACTCACGAGGAAATGAGAGCTATAAACGACGTTCTGCCCAACGGGAGGGGGATGCGTTGTGACGCTTTGCACTGTTCACGAGAACTCCAAGACGTTACTCGGAGGTTAATTTCCAGACTTGGACGATAATGAACCAAGCGGGCGAGCAAATGAGCCAATAGTTACGTTGTAATGATGTTATCAAAGAGGTCAGGCGGAAAATAGTGAAGACAATTTTCTAGCAAGACTTTTGTGCTTAATTTTTAAGATCAAGTGGCATTTGCACATACCGCGTAATATTATAATTGAGAAGCCAATTTTTAAAAAAATTGAAATGCATAGGTATAACTTATCATATGAAACAAGTCGGAATAAATTTTGATCGGAATTATTCCGTTTTCTCCAGAAAACATAATAGAAATCTAGGGAATAATTGAATAATTTCGATCCGAATTTATTTCGACTTGTTCCATGATAGATGTCCTGTTTGTTCAATAGTCGCATCTATCCGTCTTTTTGTCAATTCTTTAATTTGTAACGATTAGTATTTAAAAATAGTGTAGAAAATAATTTACAGTCTGAATAATTTCCAGTCAAAATTTTAGAAACGCTTACTAAAATTGCTACGTAATTCAAAGGATTAAATAATTAATTCACTTGGAACAAATTGACAGCCTTAATACAAATTTAATACAAATTTTACCATAATTTAATGTGAACACACACGATGAAAGCACCTTACTTAATGTGTGAATATATGATAGAATGACAACTATAGAGGAATTTTCGTAAAGCAGGGATGGAATAACATAATAGCAAGTGATCTTCTTGAGGATCATAAAGTTAGCATTACAGCATGAAAGGGAATATACAATGAGACAAGAGAAATGCCTTCAATGTATAATACATACATACAGTAGAAATTTGTATTGTAGAAAATGATTTACGACAGCTATAAATTAAACCCAATTTTAAACTTTTATAATTTACTTTTCTCGTAGATATCATATGGTAACATATTGTTTTAGGAAGCTTTGATCAAATTACGGCCAATACAATAAATTAATTAGGAAAAGTCTCTTGAAATTACTACTTATACGCAAAAAGTTGATTTAATAATTGAATGTCAACTTTAAAAACTATTCGTATTTTTAATTGATAACAATTTTTTAAAATTTACTCTAATTTTAAATATTTAAAATTTGTTTAAACTATAATCATTTTATAATTAATCACGAATGTATGTGTCGTCGTCTTATTAATTAATCGTTAAATTTATGATATAATAAATGGTATAATTGATAATTGATTGTTATTCATTTGCGCAATTTTATGTTATAGAAATTCTTACCGGTTGTGAAGATCATCTCAAAACTGGGCTATTCAATCTCGTTGTTTACTCTCATCATTGCGTTTTGCATTTTGGCCACCATCAAGTAAGTATATTCATATAAATATAATTTTAATGCATAATTGAAAAACAAGGCGCCTCGTTTTTAGCATCTTTTAATTTTTTTAAACATAATTTTTTATTTAAAGAAATTATTATTAGTCGTCTTTCAAGGCGACAAAGCGTTTTATCACATACCTTTGTATTCACATATTTTTCTTATATTTTCAATATACCGTGTAAAATAAAAAGTATACGTTGTAAAATAAAAAGTTAACTTTGGGGCTGCCCCTGAAAGAGCAATAAATTTTAACGTTTGTTTACGCTGATATAAAATCTCAAACCTTAAGGATCACCAAGATCTTCTCATCGAACACGATTGCTTTCATTACAAAGTCGGATCGTGTCTCATGGCGCCGCATAAAATCTCGCACCTCCTAATCGAAACGTAATTCGCGTTGCCACGTTCAAGTTTGTCTCCCATCGGACGTAGGAAATTACGATGCCCTCGGAATATATTGCACATGCACCTGTTCGTCTCGTTCGTGATGCGAGCGTTCATGGCGCTACTGAAGGACATGCTTTTCGTGTCCGGCCTCGGAGTGGCAGATGCTGTAATCAAAGTCACCGAGGGTTACTGGCTACTCGATGAGAAGGAAAGCAATTGGCAATGCAAGACATTCACCAGTCTGTGGCAGTACTTCATCCTAGCAAACTACTCTTGGATCTTGATGGAGGGTGTATATCTGCACAATCTGGTCTTCCTGGCGCTCTTCACTGACGCCAACTCCAGCATTGTAGGCTACGTCATTTTCGGATGGGGTAAGTAATAGGATTATTCTTAGGAGTCATCGTTAATCTTAGAAGGATTTACGAGATTCCAATCACATTAGTTGTACTCCTACATTGTTATCTTATTTTACGTTCTACATTAGTTCTAATTTATTTTGTGCTTTTTAATTTTTAACTAAGTATTTTATTATCTTTAAAATTTTTGATGTATTAATTATGTACGTATTAAGAAACTATGATAAAATATTTTTAAACGAATTTAAAAAAGCAAACTTTTTATCGATACTTCTTTATTAAGAATTTAATCTAAGATTTTTAATTATCAAGGCTTTGTATTTATCAAGATGAATCAATAAATCGTTCTTATTATTTAATTATTTAAATAATTTGTAGCAAGTATTTGATAAAATTTGTTTCCGATGTGGCTGATTGAATTGCAATCAGTTTTTTATTGCTATACTATTTAACACATTTAATAATTAAAAAATAAATTAAAAATTTTGCTAATGTGGAAATCATAAAGTGAAATAAAAAAGAAAGAAAACATAAATTTGCTATATGCCGATGTTTTTTTTATTTATTTTGACCGTCTTCGACAGCAATAAAAAGTTCCTTGGAGGGATATGTAAAATCCTTCAATTTGCAGAAATTCTCAAAAGTACTCGAAAATCACGACGATTCTCTATATAAAACATATTACATTGGTTGTGAAAATCATCGAATGTTATGTAATATAAAAAGTTATCTGAACAACAGTAATAACATAATTTCAATTTCAAATATTTTTTATTATACATACTTTTTTTACCTATATTATGTATTACTTTCCTATTTTATTTCTAATTTTCGTTCAACTTGCTTTATAATTTTATCAAAATTGTAGCTGAACTCGTCCAACAAATTTTAATTCTATCTAAAAAAAAATATTATCCTCTTGACTCTTGACTCAATTTGCCCTTCCGATTTAGACTAAATTTCCGATCACGGTAAAAAATTAGGAATACCATATTGGAATAATGATTTTTATCCCGATCCAAGTGCGTAAAATTTAAGAAATATTCGATAAAAACGGCTTGTTAAAATGTAGTTCTTTTTATTTTTAATTAAATATTAAATATATTATGAATTTTTGCTCACAAATTATTATAATATCATTTGCTAACTTAATTGCAAATTATATTTTTCCTATCTATTTTTTTCGCACAGCATTTGTATCTCAATTATTTCAAGCATATTTTTCTAAAAAAAAAAAGGACTCAAATATCTTCATCCAATTGTAATAATCTTTTAATATGTTATGAGTGATATGTGTTTTATAATAATAAGAGATACGTATTTTTTATACATATATGCTTTATTGCTCTTTTAAGAATTAAAACACCCTTTAGAGAAAAATCGGTTTTTTCTCTTTCAAAGCGAATATCATTGAAAGAGATAGAAAAAATATTTGAAATAAAAGTTGAATTCAAAAGTATTTTATAATAATGATTTATAAAATTTTATATAAATAGTTTTTATTTTTAAAAAAATAAAAATATAAGTTTTTTTTTATAATTATATTAAATACTCTTAAAATCATTTAACGTTTATTTCAAATATTTTTTTCTATCTCAGTTTTAACAATATTCGTTTCAAAAAAAAATTCAATTTTTTTGTAAAAAATGCTTTGTCCATTAAAAGTGCGATAAGGCACGTATAAAAAAAATATGCGTCCCTTATTTTCATCTTAAAAAAAAACATATTTATATCTTTTTCTATAATTACAAACTTCAGCGGACCGCCAGAAAACTTTCTACTAAATTATGTATTATTTCTCCTTAGAAAAACTTATTATTGATAAGCGTAATAGAGCTCATTTGATAAATTTAATCGTCCCAACTTTGTCTTACAGGTTTGCCAGCCGTATTTATCTTACCTTGGGTAGTTACGAGGATCATATTCCAAGATACATATTGCTGGACAACCAACGAGAAGCCTCTCTTGTTCCTTTTCATACGGGTACCCACGATGCTCTCTATTTTGGTAAGAACCTCGCGAATGCTTCGTTGAGCTAGTAATTAATTCAGTCGTACATTAATCCATTGCTCTTCCTTGGCTACGTTAGATAAATTTTGTGCTCTTCATCAACATCGTGAGAGTACTGCTAGTGAAACTCAAATCTACCATGTCAGAGGAAACGGAAAGATATAAGTAAGCTCTGTAGAAGATGATCTACTTTGCTCTGATATAAGTATACCATAAAATATTATTTCTTTTCGGTGAAATTTTTAATAAAATAATACGTACTTAAAAATTATTTTAGACAATTGACTATATAAATATACATATGTCTAAAATGATTATTAGGCGATGGGCTAGAAGCACGTTGGTCCTAGTGCCGCTCTTTGGGGTTCATTACGCGTTCTTTATCTTCATGTCGTACAGCATCGGGGTAAACGAAACTGTAGAGGTTGTGTGGCTCGTCTGCGACCAGCTGTTCGCATCTTTCCAGGTAACGCGCAATTATTAATAACACTAATCTACTTTACTGGACGCCAAACTGCCTTACAGTTGTTACACAAGAAATTGAGCACTCGACTGCATTATCATAAATAATGCATTATCTTATTAAACAACAAAGTTGGACGATGTTGTGCAAAAACTGAGCTAATTAATCCACAAAATTCGAACAATTAAATTACATAATTAGATTTATCCTGGAAAGCTACTTCCTTGATTTATATCTTTATAGGTACTTTGATCAGGGAAACATTTAAACGGTCATTCAGATAATGGAATTTAAAATTTTTTAGAGAACTGTTATTGTATTCTCTTTCTTTCTTTTTCTCTATCGCTTTTACTTTCTTTTTTATTTCCAGACGATTATTCTTAATTGAATTTTATTACATTTTTTCTCTTAATATTCATTTATTTTTAAATGAATGAGATAGAAATTTAATAAACAGTCGAAAACGATTATCAAAAGAAAAAGGAAATAAATGGATATTTTTGAGATATTAAAATAAAATAATTAAATAAAAAATATTTGTTCCACATCTCTTTACAATTTATATGAAAAATACTAGTTTTCTGAAGATTTGCGTTCGAGAAAAAGATCCAGGCTGAGAATTAAAATCGACAAGCAAAAGGGCGATTGGAGTATTATCTCTGTGTTCCCGGAAGGGCTTTTTTGTGGCGGTGCTGTATTGCTTCCTAAACGGCGAGGTGAGAGCTGAGGTATCGAGAACACTTCGTGGCATCAAATGGACACGTCTACGTGGAATTCGATGGGGCCAGAGAGCGTCGACGCATTCAGTTAGTACGTGCAGTTGCAACAACGTCTCGAAATCAGGTGGTCGTCGGCATTCAAGAAAGGCCAGGTGGTGGAAGTCGCGCTGGAAGACACCCTCTTGTCTTTACCAGGATCGCGCTATTCGTCGATCCACTCACTCGATGGCGAGTACACAAGGTGTCCCCTTAAATCCTACGAAACGTCGTGTCCCTCTATGTGTCTCTTTTTTAAGTAGTGTAACAACTTTGATCAAACTCCGATTAATTTACATAATTAATTGTCCGTTTTTACACTATAAAAAATAAAATGTTAATTTTAATTCAAAAACATTGAGTGGATTTTCTGAGACATGCAAAAACGTTAAAATTAACATTTTTGTGTTAATGTTAACATTTTTGTCTCAGAAAATCCACTCAATGTCTTTGAGTTAAAATTAACATTTTATTTTTTACAGTGTATCAATGTAATTTAATTTCAATTTTGATTTAACTAATTCTCTTCATTATTTTCTAGTTCTAAGAATTAAAAAAAAATGAACTATAAATTAAATTGAGATTAGTTAATCTAAAGTTAACAATTGATTCAATCGAGGCGATTTGGAATCTAATCAAATTTTTAAATAAAATTTATTATTCCCGATTTTTCTCTTCGTACATCAAATAAAATGAAAAACTTTATTTATGTCAAGAAAATAGCATTCTAATAAACAAGTTGACATTATTTGTCATCATTTGTCAACATTAAAGATGTCGTTTTATGTTAAAATGACGACAAATAACGCCAGTCTTGTTTGCTGGAAGAGGTATTACTTGATAAATCACCGATTAAATTAGTTTAGTTTTGAGTTTGATCAAAGTCACTCTTATTGTTTAAATGTTTAATTCTGATTCCCTTTAACAGATGATTAAAATACGAGCTGCATTAATTAAAACTTTTACGCCAAATATTTTTAAAATTATTTAAATGAGCTTCTCTTTCAAAGATTGAAGTGAAATATAATTTGAAACTTAATCTTATTTAATGTAATATGACTTTTTAAATAATAAATGATTCTTTCTTTTGGTCGCTTTAAGATGGAAATATTTCACAGCTGTACTGAAAGTAATATAACGCGATACATTGTAAGAGAATTCAAATGCATCGCGACGGTTTGGCACCCTCAAAGTGACTAAATTCGATGTCAGAGAAACTGGTCGATACCGTTGCTGTAAAGAGGAGCGTTCTCGAATGCACGAAATCTCTCTGGGTTGCGTTGTGCAGCGTACACGACTCGCATGTAATTTTGCAGATGTTGGAACGAGAGGAGGTAGTTTAGCGAGCAGCCGGGGCTATCTAGAGATCGCCGGTAATGGCCAGTCGCCGACGCAGCCGACAACACAGGATCATCACGCTCATCATACATCGCCTCTGTGCAGCAAGTGCACACATCAATCACTGCTTTCCTTTTGCTCGGTGAGTATCATCATTTTGCCCGAGTATTCGTGAGTACAGCATAATCTCGGTATAATCCAGTTGCCGATAAAGTGTGTTGCTCTTTTTTTCTCATTGCGTTCTAAAATTTAATATCATCCGTGGAATAAATATGAACAAAGAATTCAGACAAAAAACCAATCTCGAAAATGCAAATATCTAGGAAAATATAAAAAATATTTACATATTTTTTTATTTGTAATTATGGCAATCAATCCATCAATTATGTTTTTAAATAAATACAATCAATAAAAATATAATAAAATCGTATACAATTGTAAATTAATTCTAGTTAATTTAATATACAGGAAGCGTCAATATATTTTGTAAGAATTTAATATCAATTCTATCTGTTATTTTTATGTATTTTATTTTCTCTTAAAATCATATTTAATATAAGATTAAGTAAAAATAAATAAAACACGATTTGAACATTATGCAATACTTTTTTCTTAATAATTATTTTAAATAATATTAGATTAATAATTATTCTAAATAATATACTAAAAAATATATTTGACATGAAAAACAATAGTAATCTTTAAGCTTACATTCCAAAACGTCCTCTCTGAAAAAAAATTTTACTTAAAATATGCATTATAATACATTGTAATGAATACTACTTTATATCGAATAAAATTTTCGTCAGAGAGGACGTTTTAGGAATGTAGCCTTAAAAGGATATTTATTTATTAATTAATCGCTTTCGAAATTCGCATGAATAGATGTCTAATTTTTTTTCTTCAAGAAAGAGGTAACTACAAATATATATTTCTATTTTCCCAAAAATGATTCTCTGTTGAACGAATATCTTTTTCTCTCAGATGTCCGATGCGTCGGGACCGAATGGCGACAAGATCCGCGATCATCATCGATGGAGTGACTCCGAGTGCTGTCATCTCGCATACGAGTTGCACAACCTGCAGCAACATCGCGAACATCCGTGATAATATCCCACATTTCACGATAGGAAAAAAGAACACGTGTCGCTTGTCCCATAAATGTTGAACACGTTTAAACGAACGCGCGTATCGTTTCTCCAAATAGAGAGAGAGAAAGAATAAAATTAATATAAAGATATTTCTAAATCCTGTTATAAATTTTCGAAAAAGTAAAAAGGTGAGAAAAAAAATCTATTCCTTCACACGTTTTCTTTCTCTGTCACGTCTTTAGTATTGTAAAAGAAATTGAGTCCTTTCTTTTTTAGCTGTTTATCACGGAAATACCATATTATTCGCGCAGCTGTCCGTGTCGTAGATTGTAATTTGTGCGAATATGTATGATAATGTACAGACTATGTTCGATATTTTAGTATTAGAGATTTGGTGGAATTTCCTGCCAAATGTTTCCCGATGTATCTCGGTGTTTGCAACGCACCACTTACAACTAGACTCAGAACTGCGAAAATGCTGAATTGTTGAAAGCTCCGCTTTTTGTGATTTCTACACACACACACACACACACACACACACACACACACACACACACACACACACACACACACACACACACACACACACACACACACACACACAC